AAGGAAAATAATTCATCGAGAGAAAAATATTTAGAAAGTGCGTTATTCGACATTAATTCATCGACATCCACAGTAATTTTGCGTAAAGTTCTTACAATGTTTCCTCATTCTCGGAAGCTCTTCTATTATTACAATGTGGAATATTTAATACGAAATATGATTTTAAAAAAAAGATTTAAATGACATTGGTTAGATTCTGAGACCTAAAGAATTTTAAAATTACCAGCGCTTATCTTTCGTGCGTTTATGTAGTAGCTTCAATGTAAAAAAAACTACTTCGATAAAGACATATAGGGCGAAAAAAATTCTGATAAATTATTTTACCCTTTTTGTCATACATTTTCCCGAAACAATTGCTCTTGATATATAAAACATTATATATATATATATATATATATATATAATGTTTTATATATATATATGAAGAAATGTAGTTGTAAGATATGCGATATCTATGAGATAAAGTGATCAGTATCAGCGTGTGTGTAAATATGAAAGTGAACACTGAAGACAACACTCAGTCTCGAGAGACTGGTTCATGCTAAACGCAACTGACAGGCCACATGCGTTGCGTTTTTACCCGACAAGTTATATACGAGTCAATGATGCATTGTGGGTAGTCTATTGCATTGTAGATAGTATATTATAACGGTTATTTTGGCGATAGTGGTTTGTTAATTTCTTTATTCTTTATTTGGATTAATTCACTTTACTTGGTTTTGTTTATATATTTTATTTAATTTTTTTTTAATTTTTCTTGGCAGTTTTTGATTTTTAAGTAACGTAGTATGAATATCTTTTGTGTCTGCATTTAGAGATGAGTTCTAATTGTTAAGTTATTAGTTTGTTTGATCTGCGAAGGTAATTATAACTATTGTTTCCTTCACGCAGAATTTGCAGTTTTTAGATTGATTCTTGTAGGCTGATGTTCTTTTTCTTATTTTCCATTATATTTTTGGTGTGATTTGCTTTTTGTTTTTAATTTCCCAAACATACTTGAAAAGCATTGTGCTTTTTGCGTATTTACTATTTGTGAAAGATATTTTTTCTGTGTATTTTCTTTGTTTACTTCCTATGTATATTTTTTCTTCGTTATCTGATGATTTTACTGTGGCTTGGTATATTACATTGTTTTTAAGCAGCTGCAGTTTAATGGCATTCGTTCTTTATTCTGCAGTTATACGTTTGTTTAATTTGTTCGGGTGGTTTGTTGATAGTTTTCCTGTTGTGCAACTGTAGATGATTTTTACTGTGATTTTGTTGAATATTTCGGGGGTACAGTGCTTAATTCGGGGAAGTGTTTGTGTAAGTGGTTGATGAATACTTTTTCTACGTTTGTTTTTAGAAGCTTGTGGCATGGTGAGTTGAACCATGTGATATTTCTTTTCCTGTTTGTTTGTTTTTTGTACTCTGTAGCGTTTATGTGAGTCTTGACGGAAATCCACTCTCTTTTAGGGTTGCTTCATAATTTTTCTTAGCTTTGTTGAAAATGGTTTCATTAGAAGAATTGTCGGAAAGCCTCTGGTTGACATATTTGTGTATTGATTGGACGATGTATGTATATACAGTGATTTACCTATGGCTTTTCTGTATGGTTTATATGTACATTTTCTTAGATGGAAGATTTATTCATTTCGTTTAGTTTATTCTTTTATGTCTATGCCGTATCCCATCTTTTCGAAAATTTAATATTGCTTTTCGAGTTTTGTCTGTGTTTTGTTTGTTATAGTTTTTTTAAGATTATGAGACCATCGTCTCTGTAGAATCGGGTATCATTTCTATCTATTATTTTACTTAGTTCGTGTAGTAAATATATACCTATGAGTTCGTAGTTCCTTTAACCATCAAAGTTTCCCTTTGTAGTGTCAAATATCAATTCTTTCTTTAATCGTGCGTCTTCATTGTCGAAAAGTAGAGATTAACGGGAGTATGATTATTTTGACTTCGTTTGTGTATATTCTTATTTGGTTTTCAGCTAAGGTGATGGCCTTATCTAGCATGTGTTCTGTTATAGTAGGGTAGAATTATTTATGTCTAGTTGTATACTCTGGAAATTATATTTGATATTATGCTGATTAACCTGTCGGTAGCTGTTCTTTTTTTTTTGTTTTTCCACTTCTTCCTTAGCTCTGAATTAATTCATTATAATATTGTTTTAATTATTTTACATATATATATATATATATATATATATATATATATATATATATATATATATATATATATATATATCTCCAGTCTGCAGTTATGCAAATAAAATGAACCTCAATGACTCAAAAAAGTTTGGAAACAATATTTGTCAAATTTAATGTGTTCCATTTCATCATTAGTAAAATAAAAAAAATATTAAATGTTCTGTCATTTTCAGCTGTTAGTTTCGGAGATATTTGGAATTTACGAATATGGACTGAGGGAAGTTATTATGAAGTTTAAACTAATATTAGATTACGACATCTGAAATGTAATACAAATGATATTTTTTTTTATTTTTTGTCACAATATATGTTGAAACATGGGTAATGGTAAGGACCTAACAAGTGCTGAAAGACAGAAAATAACATAATTACTGAATGAGGGAATGTCCACATTGGACATATCAAAGAAGCTTTGCAGAAATCATTGAATGATAAAGAAGGCTGTCGTAACTATAAGTTGAAAACTCAAAGCAAAGGAAATGGCGTTAAGAACTTGCTTCATCGAGATGAACTTAAACTAAAGCGATTTATGGCGAAATAACAACTTTTCACCAGCGCTCCGATCTTTGAATTGAGGGAGACCAGAAGGATAAAATGTATTGAATATTTTGTGAATTGGGATCTGTAAAAAAAATTCCTAGGCAACCGCCTCTCACTAAAGCAAATAATTTAAAGCATTGAAACTGGACTAGGAAATTGATTTTCTACAGTAATTTTCATGGAGTATTCTTGAATGACATTTGATGGACCTGATGGAAGGGGCAAAGGATGGATGTTATCCAATTCAGACATGTCTGTGGCTAAAAGAAGGCAATAAGGAGGTGGTAGTGTTATGATATGGGCTGTAATTGCTAATCAAACCATTATTATTAGAGCATTCAAAGGCGATGAAGCATTTAAATTTAATAGTAATATTACGATTGTATGAACAATATTTTCTTTGCGTGGTACGCACGACAATTCTCCTTCTCCTGTACCCGTGAATTCTTTCAGAATAAAATAATTACTGCAGAGAAGATAATAATATGGCCACCATCAAGTCCTGATCTGATAATGCCTAAAAATTTAACTCATGCTTTGTTTTGACATCTAGACTGAGAGGTTTAAAATTTGACAGTTGTTGTCCCAACCAAATTTGAATTATTCAAGGTCATATCCCTTATAAATACAAATATCGTGTCTATATATATATATATATATATTATATATATATATATGATATATCATATATATATATAATATATAATATCTATATATATATATATATATATATATATATATATACATATATATATATGTGAAAAGTGTATATAAATATAAATAAATATATATATATATGTATAATTATTTATATATTATATGCGCGATACTTATTAGAAAGCGCTCAATATCAGAGATAGAGCTAACATATTTGGTTGTATAGATGTGAGTTTGTGACCCTGGGTTTCAGGCTTTAGCGATCGTCAGACAAATGTCTGACGATCGCTAAAGCGTGAAACCCAGTCACAAACTCACATCTATCAAACAAATATATATATATATATATATATATATATATATATATATATATATATATATATATATATATATAATAAATATATATATGTAGACTTAAGTAAATGATATACGTTCTTATATGCCATGATTTTCTGTTTCGTGAGTTTTGTTTACGTACATCTATAAGTTTATATACTTTGCTTAATATCTTCAGACAGAACACTATCTCTCTCTCTTTCTCTCTCTATCTCTCTCTCTATATATATATATATATATATATATATATATATATATATGTGTGTGTGTGTGTGTGTGTGTGCGTCGTGTGTGTGTGTAAACTTCAAATATATTATATTCTTTCATATATGCCATGAGGGTTTCATTTGTGAGTTTTGTGGAATTACATCCATTTTTATATTGATCATTACTTTTCTTGATATGGACAATTATAATTGTAAATAATTTCTGCATTAAATATGTTATTTTGCAGGATTACTTGTTCGAACATTTCAGCAGAAACTCTATCTTTCTTGTTATGTAGGTGTACTTATATTTTAATCAAAATCATGGTTTGAACTATAAATAATCTAAAATATTATCCATAAAGAAAGTTCAAAACAAATGGAAAAATTAACTTTTCCGTTTTTTATCTCCTTTTAACCAGCAAATAATCTTTATAAAGGGAGAGTCTGAACAAACATTTGTAACACATTGTCTGGTGATTTCATATGTTTTGAAACTGCTAGTCAGCATTCAGTATTAATGTATTGATTTCGATGTTCACACTGTTCCTATGTACAAACGGTAGAGGCATTTTGCGTCTTGAACTATTACCACGAGATTATTTACTATGTAAGGTTGATTAACTTGTGAAGTAAGTTCTGTGCTTACCGAGTGAGCCATAATTTTAATATTTATACAAATATATATATATATATATATATATATATATATATATATATATATATATATATATATATATATATATATATGTGTGTGTGTTGTTACTGGAACAGAAACGATACAAGTTGTTATGCTGCTTGTTATGTATTGTTTCTACGTAAACACAAACTTCAAATCGGAATCACAAGCCGAATGCTTTTGTGATAATATCTTATACTACACAATGGTAACTGTACCCATAAATTGACTTAATACAGAATTGAAATATTGATCAGGAAACCCTTATAAAACATCGTACAATGTCCGATTTCCGTAATTAATACTAATACATCGATTTCCATGAAATAATATTATTACATAGCAACAAAATATTAATCGAAATGTCATCCTTTGAAGTCAAATATC